CATAATAAAATAAAGAAGATATGCAAATGAAAATTACAGTCCTCTCCTCTGAAAATGGTCATGTGTTGCTGCTGGTACTCATAACTATCTTCTTCCACCTCCCATTCCATATTCCCTTCAATTCAGCAAGTAGTTCGGCTGCCTGTGGCATTTCTCTTGCTGTGGTGATGCCAACCTTCATTCCTGAAGGGTCCTGGCCACTCTTAGTTCTGCCTGGGTTGGGCTGATGTAGTTTCCCATGGACATTAAGCACAGGGGATGTAACACTAAGAGGCACCCTAAGGAACTCCTGTATTCCAAACATTCCCTTCCTTCCYTCCCTGGGGAGCAGCTGTCCCATGTCCCCCTGGCTGCCAGGATCCATCACTCAGGCCCACCAGCTAACTCTACCCTTGGGTTCTTGACTCAAAGCAAGAAGAGCCCAACATGGCCAGTGAYAGTTGTCCTTTCCAATTCAGTGAACTCATTGTTGTCTCTTGATGGAAGCATTTCTTCTGTGAAACTAAGATCTCCATGTCAGCAGGGCATAAGGTCATGGGGACAGGAAGCACATACATTGCTAGTGGGTCACTGGGGGCCATAGTGAGAGTTGCCATACCCATTCCCATTTCTTGATTTTTGGACCCATGAATCCTGGCTGTGGGGGAAACAGTGCCACATGTCAGACACTAGTTCAGAGCATGTGCAGCCTCCTGAGGAACCTGGCCCCAGCCTGCAAGGTGTCTCCATGTAGCTGCCACTGTCATGGAGTCTTCAAAGGGCTACAGCACCCCTCATCAAGCCAGCTACCTCAAGAGGAGGGAGAACAAACATATACATAATCCTCCATAGAAACTAAGGGACAGGAAATACAAAGGATGAAGGGGACAGCCTGATCTGACCACAGGAAGCCATTGATGCCTAGGGTCTGGCTGACAGCAAAAGGCTCTGGTGTTGTCTGTGTCCCAGTGATCACAAGTCCTGGTGGGCAAGGTTCTCCCGAGTGACAAGGACAAGTGAATACAGAAGATGACCAAGCTAAAGAGGGACCACATGAAAGCCCAGCATGGCCTGAGCACTAACTGGACACAGCCCTGTCCACACTGGGCTCCTCACAGCCTTCTTCTGTCTTCAGCTGTAGCTGATTCAGGACAATGAAAACAGGTTCTAGAAGGTTCCCAGTGTTTCCATTTATTTTCTCTCTCTAATTTGGAATTTTCTGTTTATTAACCAATCAATCCACTGGGTCAAGATTTTGAAAAATATTTATATTCTGATTCTTATATTCAGGATGGAAGTAAGAAGTTGTGGCTCAGTGCACAGTGATGTTGAGAGAGGGATGGAGTCATCCCAGCGTCACCTCTGCTAGAACAGGAAAGGTGAGTGCACAAGGGACGGTACAGGACAGGGGTCCTGTGCACTGGTCTCACTTCTGCACATTATGCCAATAGGAATGTGGATGGCTTAATGATCCATGTCAGAAAGGGACTCCAGAGTTCTTCTAGTCACAAATGCTTGAACAAATCTTGTGTTGCTCAGTCCCACACAAGGCAGCTGTCTCTGCTACAGAACAAAAGTGTGATGAACAAAATCAGGGCAGTAGCTCAAAGGGACAACATTCTGAAGAACCCAGAACTCACCCAAAGATCCAAGAGAATTCCCACAACCTTCTCCATTCCCCTCTATCACACCTTCTACCATTTTAAGCCCTCCAGAGTCTCACCTTTATGGGGCTAGAGAAGTATTGGAGTGATGGGCACTGGTGTTGCCTGGGTCAGAAAAACAACAAGACAGAGTCAAAATCCAAAAGATATGTGAAGAATGAATAAATTATGGGGCAGATGAGGGACCCTCCTTGTTCTCCCATCTACACTACTCCAAGGGTCTCAGGGACAACATTCTCTGAACAGTTATGGAATAGCTCTCTTCTTTTCTACCTATGAGAAGAAAACAACCTGTGTGTGCCAGGGAGGAGGCAGAGCTATAAGGGCTTGAGAAATCCCCTAGGCCTGGATCCCAGGGAAGGTTCCTGAACTGTAACTGGAAACCTTAGAAAGGATCAAGAGGCATGAGGATAGGAGATGCCCAGGCACTTAACCAACCACTCTCCTGGTTGTATCCAGCAGGGACCTACCCCTTTGCCCTCTGAATGCTGGGATCAGGTCCCCACCATGACAATCATAATGGTGATCATCTTGTCCTTTATTTTCCTTGTGCTTTACAATAGAGTGAGTCAGCAAGTGTGTATGGATGATGCTTCCCATTAATGAGACAGAGCTCACTTCTACCAGGGGCCTAGACCAGGTACACCCAGAACCCTTGACTACCCTACCTGCATTGCGCCACRACCTCATAACAGCCACCRCAGCTCCAGTGACCACAACTACAAAGAGAACCAGGCCAGCAACAAGTCCCATGACAGGGATGATGGACAGAGCAGGTGATTCTGGGAAGGGAAGGAAGGTAGGTGAGTGACCCTGACCCCTAGCTCTCAGCCCTGACCCTACTGAGGGTTTTCAGAAGGGCTCCTGCTTTTCCTGCCAACAGGCTCTGTGCCCTCAGCCCCTCCTTACCCCATCTCA